TAATGCATTAGGCTAAAAGTGCGGTAACAATATCAACTTCTCGGGGTTTTTAAGTCGGTCGATACGCCCCCCCCCCCAAGTAAGAAATCCGTGGCGACGCACTTGTATAGGTGGATTTAACTAAAACTACTGAGCCGAGTGACTTATAACGATAAAGCTTCATCTTAGAAACGACGAAGACGAAATGCCTTTTGATCTCGACATACTCGCTCCCTCTCCCCCGGTCGTCGGAATTCATCCATCAGACCCGGCATGTCGGCCGACCTGTAACCCCCCCCCCCCCCCCACAAACAAAACGTTCGCCTAGATCCTCCCTTGCCCTCTGTAGAGAGGAGGCGCCCTGTAGAGAGGAGGCGCCCTGTAGAGAGGAGGCTCCCCGGGATCCTCCGCCCCCCGGCCAAATTCTAGGTATGTGCCTGCAATTGTTCGTGCATTTTGGGAGTATTCGTGTGGCTACACGACCTGCAACTTTAAAAACAAAATTTTGTTTCCAATGATATGCAGAATGCGGGGGTTTTGCGAAATACTACAGCAGAAATTGTTCTGTGACTGTCCTGTTTTACCGATCACGATCCGCCTACTTTGTCGATACCGCTATCGTGGCCCTAGAAGCAGTCGAGGAGGTCCCTGAAACAGCCAAAAGGGAGCCATTAAACAGTCTACAATCTTTACTCAAAAACTTAACCCTTCCGAAATGAAGTGGTGATTGGTGAAAAATGAGTACCTAGATTTTAGGAAAGTGCAGGGGTACCTATAACTTTGCATTTGAAAAGAGCGGGAACATACACTGCAATTGCATAAATGTGGTTGCAAAACGTTGAGCCGGGATATAAATACCTACGCCTTATTTTATAAGCCTGAGCCTGGATCCAGGGGGGGAGATTAAGTCATATCCCTCAAGTCATAGACCCGCTTTTCACCACCATGGTCCACGCTCCCTCCCCCCCCCCCCGCTCAGCACCTTTCGTCACCGCCCCACCGGCGTCCGGGGTTCAGCCCCCCCAACCTATTATGCGATCCTACACCCCTGCCGCACATATCCTATTCCACAGCTTGTCTTTGGTGACCTGACCTTGACCTTGACCTTTGCATGACTTTGCATGCAATGCATCTTGTGTTGGTAGTCTAAGAACGCGTTTTGGGTAATCAATAGCCGTTTTCACGACGGGCTATCCGGCGAATGCGCCTGATTTGACCAAATCTGCACCTAATTTCTTTTACAGCAAATATCTTCATTTTATGAATTTATTTCAGTGTTTTAACCCGGCAGTTGCTGGGGTATTTCGCCACCCACCGTTTGCTGCGGGGGGGGGGGCGTTAAACGCCCCCAGCCGATAACTCGAGAACCAATAGGCGCAGCGAAACGCACGAGGCGGCAAACGAAAGAACGCGACGAGACGCTTCAGATGAGTACTTTTAAGTTGAATTTTGAGGTCACAGGTCGGGTCAAGGTCAGGTCAAACACCTGAAATCGGGCTTTCAGTAGCATGGACTTCAGGACTTCGCAATGGGCGCCTCTCGTCAGAAACTCTGTCAAAACGGTGCACAATCCATCATATAAGGCCTACAAGAGTGTCAGTTCCATGTAGGGGCAGTCAAGCATAGGTCAGGGTCAAGGTCAGGTCAACCGGGTAGGCACATATCCCCGAAAATCAAAACTGATATTTGCAGCCTATGACACATGTTTTATGGGTAATTTGGGCCGTAGAACACGATGGTGACATTCATTTTATCATATGTGTACGTGTTTGGCTCAAAAAGTTCAATTTAAGAAATTCATGTATCATGGTCGCGAAGTAGTCACGAGAAATTGTCAAGATTCAGTTCAAGATTTTGGAAAATGCGGAACGATAATCAATAATCGAAGATAGCCATTTGATTGTTCATGGTATTGGCATTCTAATGGCGTTTACGGCATGTCTGTATGTCTATCCTGTGATTTTATATGATTTTTTGAACATATGCCGTTTTTGGTCGAAAACTCAAATCATGACGTCACTAAAACCTCGATATCTCAAAAATTTCCGACAGAATTTTTTGAAACTGTCAAAATAAACTTCAATCAATTCCCTACAGGTACCCAAAATTTGGCGCGCCTGCGGCGCGCCATTTTTATGCTATGGCCCCGCGAAAAAAGTGGGGGCGTCTAACGCCCCCCCAGCAACTCGCGGGTTAATCGATGATGCTCTCTGATAATATGACAAAGCAGGCATATAAGCAGTTAGTGCGAGTTGCAACCCTAGCTGATAGCTGCTAAGAGACACACTGAACCTGATTTGACCAAATCTGCACCAGATGTGTACCAGATGGCCGTCGTGAAAACGGCTACATATTATCAGTTCATTAATCGCCAGCAGCGCTCCAACTCCGATACTGTAGAATCTTACGATTTTTACCCTTGCCCTTACCTTGCCCTGACCTGTGACCTATTAATTGGCAAAACATAATCTGCTACAGAAGTCCGTCTTCTTGAGTGCTTTCGAGTGTCATTTTTCACGCCTTTCGAGGACCGTTGGTTCGGAAGTTGCTAGGCCGGCAGGATCTGCCTCCCCCCCCCCCCCCAGCACAGAGGGACGCGTATGATGGAAAAGCCCAGCGGGGTGCGGGTTACGACACTAAAGTGTAGAAATACTGAAGTCAGAAGTGAGGAGGCTCACCGCCACCTTCTTCTTCTTCTTCGCCGCACGTCACGTGGACGCGCCCGCAGGCGCGTCGGACGGGGGCTGGTCGAGCGGCGGCTCGGACCGCCCCACCCGCCGAATGTAGTCCACTATCTTGCCGGCCGGCCCGGAGAGGACCTCGTCAAGGGATGGCAGGGGTCCCCCCCAGAGTCGGCGTCTCGTGGAGGCGAATGCTGGGCACTCGGTGAGAAGGTGGCGAACGGTATCCTCGGCACCGCACTCCCGGCAGAGAGGGTCCGGGGTGAGCTCCAGGCGGTGGAGCGTCGCTCGTGCCAGGGGGCAGTAGCCGGTCCGCAACTGCGACACGGTCACTTGCCCCCAGCGCGGGAGGTCTTGGAGTCCAGGCGTGGGCTGGGGGTGCGGGTGCCGGTGTGCACGCGTGGCCTGCATTTCCCTGGCGCGCTGCCGTATGGCGGTTCGGGCGCTGGCCAGATCGATGGGCGTCTCCGACTGGGCGCACTCGGCCGCCGCACGGTTAGCCAGCCTGTCTGCCGCCTCGTTGCCGGCGATGTCGGCATGGCCTGGGACCCACTGGAGGATGATGGCCGTGTTCTGTTCCCCCAGTGAGTCCATCGCGGCCCAGACGCGCTCGGCGAGGACCAGCTGCTGGGCCTCCGGTCCGCGTTGGAGTAGCTGAAGGCCGGAGAGGGAGTCGGTGCACAGCAGACATGTCTTGATGCGGCTCCTGGTCTCCCCCGGTTGTGCCAGCAGACAGGTGAACGCCGCCAACATCGCTGCGAGTTCGGCCCGCATACTGCTGCAGGCCGAGCCCGCCGGCACCAATGTCTCCACTTCGCGGTTCTCCCGGTGCAGCTGGATCAGCGCACCGCCGCCTCCGTCCCTGGTGCCGGACTTGGCGGAGCCGTCGGACCAGATGGTGCAGTCCGGGTTGACCATGGCTATGGCCTCGAGGGCGGCAGCTTTCCTCACGGCGGGTGGATCGTCTCTTCTGGTGGCGCGCGGGAGGGAGAGACGGAAGGTGACCGCGGCTGCTGGGTTGGTCCACGGCGGCTGTTCCGGGACCAGGGCCAGCGGTTCCCGTGGGAGGTCCGCTAGACCCGCCTCCTTGGCCATCCACTGACTGACCCGCCGGAAGCACGGTTTGAAGGGCAGCGCCGTGTCCTCGCTCGGGGGGTCCGGCGGCGGTTCGCCGCGTCTTCTGGCCTCAGTGCGCGCTCGCTGCCAGGCCTCATGAGCCCTGTGCTTGAGGCGTGGGCGGACGTGTCGCTCGGTGAGGGCTCTGGCGGGGTCTCCTGGCGGCAGTCTGGCGAGTCGCTCCTGCTCCATTGCTGCTATTTCCCTGCCTCTCACTGCGAGTGGTGGCAGGCCGGCCTCGGTGATGAGGGTCTCCGAGTTTGTGAGGCGGATGCAGCCAGTAATCACTCTGGCGCACTTGTGCTGCTCTGCCTCGAGCCGGGCCCGCACGGAGGGTGCAGCGTGAGTGGAGTTGAGGGCAGCTCCGTAGTCGGCCACGCTGCGGATGTACGCGATGTAGGCCGCACGCAGCGTGGCTTGGTCACTGCCGTATGACCTGCCCGCCAGAGCTGTCAGACAGCGTCGGCGCTGTGCCATCCTCTTCTTCACTTCCTCGATGTGGTTGGTGAAAGTGAGCTGGCTGTCCAGGGTCAGCCCCAGGAAGGTCGGGTTCTTCTCGTGCGCGAGCTGGTCGCCTTTGAAGGTCAGTGTCGGGACGGCCTTTCCGTTGACCTCCTTGGCGTGTAGCGAGAAGGTGGTGAAGACGCACTTGCTTGGGCTGGCCTCGACCTTCCACTTGTCCAGCCAGCGGGCGACTTGGTCCAGATCCGGTTGCAGCTGGTCGGCGCACGCCTGCAGCGAACGTCCAGTAGCCAGGAGGGCGGTATCGTCCGCGTAGAGAGAGCGGGTGGTGTTGGTGTTGACCGCCACCTTCACCGCCACCTCCACCCCCTCCCCCTTACCCACCCCCAGGGCCCAGCGGGCACATGTTCCTATAAATCAACTATGGCCTATGGCCACCGCCGCACCGCCGCACCGCCCCGCCACCTAGCGGTGTTGCCTTCATGAGGACAATGTCGGTATTTGTCACCTTATTGAGGCGTTCAAACTCGCTTTATGTGAAACCAATAAAGGCATTTTGATTGACTCGCTGGTGCAATGCAGCTCCGACTTCCGAGTCAGCCGGCTCTGTCCTAGCGCGCATGACTTCGGTGACCCGCCACGGTAACCTTGAAAGCTTTCGAAGTTTTCTATTTTTATTCCCCTGAACAAAGAATCTTGACAATAAAATCACGAGGATAGGTACTCGGCGGCAGGATTACTGGATTACTTCTCAACGGGTTCTGACGGATTTCTTTTTCTTTTGCATTCGGAAAATCAAAGGCCAGAAAACTTCAACTTAGCTGCGCCATTTTTTAGTCTCTGCCCGTCACGAGTAGTAGCTATCTTGCTCGTCCCGTGGTCTTGCCCGTCACGACCCTTAGCTTGTCCCAGGCCAGCCCAGCCAGCAAAGTAATCTTGCAGCCAGCACTTGTATTTAGCCCAAGTTTAGGATCGCCGAGTGCTTGGCGTGCTGAAGTTGGGTTTGAGTTGAAAGCTGAAATATTAGCTGGCTGTGGATCTAAATAGCGTAGTGCTGCTTTGACAAGCTGTAATGTGGTCGTTTTATATCAATTAGTCGCTTCGACGCTTCGCTTCCATAGATCATTGCTATATCTGGACGGAACATTTTAACCGACCTATAGTTTCATCAGCAGAACGTTTTGTTTGAGCGGGTTATTCGAGGCGATCGAATAACCCGGACAGAAAACCAACCCGAAAAGTGATGTTTGTTCGGCTGTTTGTCATATGTGCCACGCAGCTGTCTTTTGTGGTCACAACAGACTATTGCACCGAAGGGAAGTGTGGATCTACGCACACACTATGCAAATACCCCGAAGAAACTCCCGGAGAAAAATGCCTCTCGATGTCGGGCTCCGGTATCAAAGCTGAGGAGGTGGAAAGCCTCCTGCACCTTCACAACAAGCGGAGAGACCACGTCGCCGCCGGAAAGGAGTCGCGGACCCTCGGCGGGGCGCTGCCGCAGGCGGCCAACATGGGCGCTCTGACGTGGGACAGGGAGCTGGCTCGCGCGGCGCAGCGCTGGGCGCTGCAGTGCACCATCGAGCACGACCAGTGCAGAGACATGCCCGGGATGCCCGTCGGACAGAGTCTGGCCTTCAACGGCAACACCAAGCAGCTGCCGTCCAACGTCACACAGCTGGCCTCGATGTGGTACGAGAACGAGGTGGCCTCGTACGACACCCAGGGCAGCTCCGCCTTCCACTACTCGATGGAGACCAGCCACTTCACCCAGTGGATCTGGGCCCGCTCCTACAAGCTCGGCTGCGGATATTCTGGATTTCAGGACGGCAAGATGCACAAGCACCTGTTGGTCTGTAACTACGGGCCCGGTGGGAACATTGAGGAGCACGACCTGTACCTGGCTGGTGCGCCGTGCTCCAAGTGTCCCAACGGTACCACCTGCGGCGGGGACGCGCGCTACGCGAACCTGTGCAGCTCGGACAGCGGAGAGGTGCCCGACCTGCCGGACGAGGACATCGTATGGGTCTCCGGGTCAGCCGCGCCCACCGGCACTCCGTCAGTGGGACTGCGCTGCGTGATTGTGGCCGTATGTGTGACTCTGCTCGTCAGCGGCCGTAAGCCAGACTAATGGTGGCCGGTGGATATACATACACTACCGTATTTACAAATAGCTGACGCTCAATGAAAGGCGGCCGAAAAGTGTTGCTGGAGGTTGGAACAGTCCTATATTATAGTAAGTAGTAACCCTATGTTTGAGAAATACGCAATGGTCTGCACTAGTCGCTCATTGGTCGATATTATTCTGGCAAACTGTTTATTATGCTTTCATGCACTCGAGCCGATTAAGTGAAAATGGGAGGAGAAATATGTGCTGGAACTAAAAAGGTGCCGTCGAGATGCCGTTTCTGCTTGACAGAGTAAAGTAGACGTGATGGATGGGTCAGATGTCTTATGACTGCCCTACATAGTGGAGAACATATGATAATGTGTAGCTAGTTATTGCGCCGTTTACCGTTGCCACGCCATTCCTGTGCTCGTTCCAATATCCACCATTATCCGATGTGTGCCTGCCCAGTGCCCAGTTGTCCAATGCCCAGCACAAAGCAGCTGCAAAGGTTTATTCTGTTCGTTTGGCAGTTTCTTTCTAACAGCGGGATCCTGCGGAGCGTTGGATAGACTGTGCCGCAATACATGCCTGTCAGGCGGGACAGTCTACCTTTCAGTGAACGCGCGTAGGCATTCGGCAGAACGCAAGAAATGACTGTTCGCGCAAGCAGTTTGCTGGATGGTAGGAGGTTTAAAGTACGTACCTACCAAGAAAAAACCAAAGCCGGACCTATCGGTTTTCCTAGTCATAGGGGAAAGTGGGGTAAGACGGGCACCTTAACTTTACCGACCAGCACAGCTCGCAACAAATACCCGATATTATGCCGCATTGATACAGTCGCTCGTTGGTCTCAAGTGCTTCGGAAATGGCAGTATACGAGATTCGTGCAGAAGGCGTATGCTCGTATATAGGCCCTAGATCAGAAGCCATGTAGGACCGTTTTTCACATTCATTATTCGAGAATAAACTGTGCCGAAGGAATATTGCTAACATGTCTGTGAGTATCGGAATCGAACATATTCTTATTAGAAATGCTTCTTTTTTCCTACAGCAACAAAAATATTTTCACCATTACAGACCCATTGGATTCATAAATGCCCGTCTTACCCCAAACTCAATGCCAGAAGTTCAGCACGATTTTTTATGTGGACAATTTGATGCAGACAAAGCAAATCCGCGGTAAATGAACACTGGTGGCATATGAGTGTACCACAAGTGATTGCGAGTTTTTAACTCTATAGTGCTGCACACAAAAGCTTGCACAATACATTATGGATCTTTTCAATGAAATGAGTGTTTTAAAGAAATCAAAATAAAAGTTGATCGACTAAACACAAATTCACCAGACTTCAATGGTGGTGTGTAGCAGGGGCGGATCCAGCCGATCCGTTTGGGGAGGGCAAAAGTTTAGCCGACCATCGGCGACCCCGACCCACCACCGCACGAGTGACCAAGTTACTTCACAACGCCAGTTACACCATCTTACCGTAAGATGGTGTAAAATGTCTTATGTTAATCTGTGCCCAGCCGCGCTGGGGCTCCTGGATTTTCACGCCCCTGGGGGATGTTTGAACGCCCATATCCCTTCTAACTCGGCTCCTGGGCCACGTAGCAACACGCGGTAGGCGGCGTTTGAAAGAGTGTCAAACATAATGACCAAATTACCCCAGTCACTTTTAAGGTCAGGTCAGATGTCAGATCACCAGAGCCCATCAAAGGCCAAATCCCGATAATATTTAGGCCCAGTTTCGACAATTTTTGAAGAACTGGCGCATAACTCGGAAACGAATAGAGCCAGAGCGCCCCAGAAAAGCTAATTTGATAGCACTGTTACTGCTATTTCTGGATAATTCGCTCAGATTCGACCTAAGATCAACGGTGTAGCCTCCGGGGGAAACTGCCATAATATACACTATTTTTACGGGAACGGATTTTCTGCGATACCTTTTGAATCAAACCTTGTGCGATCTTACTTTTACCGGCATCGTGTAAATTCGGCATTAGCGAATTGCTGCAAACTATTGCATATCTTTCGTGACCTGAGATGATCTCAGGGACATGAGGAGGGGTCACGGGTGCTATTTTCCGGTTCACTATGTGCTGTTTAGGTTGTAACTCGGTATTGTTAAGAGTGACGTTTCTTATAAATTTAGCACGAATGTTTGAAAGGGCGGATTGACGGGAGCTGGACCTACGCTAAGCAGAGCTTGTTGCGTAGAGCCCGACCCCTACCGTCCGATAGCGTAATTCCGGGTGACAGGAGAATTTAGTTTAACGTTTAACGATGCCAATGTTTTACGTGCCCTTCAAAAACGGACACGGCCTGTCCCACTCCTGACTTTGAATGGCTGCGGCTGCTCCCACCAACCTCAGACCATCCCCGTCAGGAGTCTCAAATATCGAGCGCCGGAGCGACTCAAACCCGGGCTCTCACTACCGGGAGTCCACTGCTTTACCAACCGAGCTACCGGGCAGGAGGTTTGCCCCAAAAAGGTGCCTTTCAATTTTCTCTTATTGACTTATAGTGGAGAGGTCGCAAAAATGACCTAGCCCTAGGTCATCGATATAAAAATCATGTGACTAACATTTTGTACATAGGTACTGTTACCCTTATTAACTGCTGAAAGTTTCAAAGCGATCCGTCACTCGGTTTAGCTATGGCAAGCATTGGAACTGTTTTAGGTTATGTCACTTGACGTAGCACCTACAGCTTAGTGACTTCGTGACCTTGAGAGACCTTGGTCTGACATTTTCAGAACATATGCAAAAAATAGGTATAAAATGGCGGCTAGGCACGTCGCCGTTTTTTTTTTTTACGCGGAACGCTCCACAGCAATGAGGCTCCCAACAAATGACAAAACTGTGGATTTCTTAGGTAATTTCGAATATATGGTGGTGGGCGTCTTACCCGACTGGGCATCTTGCCCCGTGTTACCCCACACCATGGCCATTGGCCACACTGCATATGCTTATGCATGCATTCAGTTCAGGGGTTCAATCTAATATCAGCATATCGACCCAAAATATCAGCAGCCAGTGGTCAGCTCCTTCCTTCGGAATGGCCGTCACGGAAAGAAACCCTGCTTTTCGTCCATATAGGCATCGACGCCGTATAAGTTTTGCTCATCGCTACATGTTTTGGGAGGGGCAAAAAGTTAGTCTTGCCCACACGATTTGGCTTTGGGGAGGGCAAATGCCCATTTTGCCCTCCCCTGGATCCGCCACTGGTGTGTAGTGGGAAAGGCAATTCTGGTCCTAATTTTTCTCGCTCGTAGCGCTATTGGTTTGGTCTGCAGAAGGGGCGCCCGTCTTACCTACCCTGACCGTCTTACCCCACTTTCCCCTACACCCCCACCGAGCGGCCTTTCAACGATTTGCCCTTATGAAGCTAAAGCCTCGGGGAGGGAAAACGGGCGTGTGCGCCGTCAGAAGACACAGCGGCTGCTTCCCTATTTTAACCCGCGCCGGGCCGGTGCTCCGCGACTTCCGCGCCGGGCGGGAGGAGGGGGTGTCTGAACACCCCTCCCCCCGTCTAACTCGGCTCCTGACCTGGGCCACGTAGCGACACGACACGCGGCAAGCGGCATTCGAAAGAGCGTCAAAAATAGTGACGGAAACGCTTCAGTCATTTTTTAGGTCAGGTCAAAGGTCAGGTCGCAAGAGGTCATCAAAGGTCAAATTTAGTCCATTTTAACATTTTTGGAAACTGTCAGCGGATAACTCGGGAATAAATAGAGCTACAGCGCTGCGGAAAAGCGCATTCGATAGCCCTTTTACAGACCTTTCTGAATATTGTTCTCAGATTTGACCTCAGGTCAACGATTTAACCTTGGAGTCCAGAGAGCAAAAACTCAAAAAATGGCAGTTTTCAGTCACGGAAATAATAAATTATGATTCAAGTAAGCCACAACATAGCTTTTGCCAGCATCGTGTTCCTCTCGTCGAGACACGTCGAATGAAAAGTTGACCTTGAAAGGTCATTTTGAAAATTTGACCTAAGCTCAAGGTCATGGCCTGACCGGTAAGGGTCGTGTTGCATATCAGTCGATTCGTATCGTCGAGCTGAAGATATTTGACGTGCTTTCATCGCTCTAGCATGTCTGTATTATAAGTTGTTGTCAAAAATCTGTTGGGGACTTTTCATGACCTGATATGACCTCAGGGACATGAGGAAAGGTCGCGACTGCTATTTTCCGTTCAGCTTGTCAATTTTACCTGTAACTCAACGTTAGAGAGTGTTGGAATGACGTTCGTCGAAAAGAGACTCTGTTTAATTTTCCCCCGTTGACTTACGAGTAAGAGTAGGTATAATGGAGAGGTCGCAAAATTGACCTGACCTTAGCTCACCGATGTCAAAATTCCGAGGTCTGAATTTTGTACGTGCTGTTAATCTTATCAATCGCTGAAAGTTTCAAGGTGATCGTTCAGTCGGCGTAGCTATGAAGAGGATTCAATTCTTTTCTGAGGTGAGGTCACTTGACGTGACCTGGTGCCCTGACCTTGAGAGCCCTGGGTCTGAAATTTTCACATGTGCGGAAAAGATTCATAAAGAGGCGTGCGCGCAGGCGTTTTTGAGACATCTGCGGAAAACGCAGGGGGGATGTTCAACCCTCCCCCTGCCCCGCGGGCGTTAACTCGCGCCCGGCTGGGGGTCCTGGATTTCCACGCCCTGCTGGGGGGTGTTTGAACACCCCCCTTCTAACTCGGCTCCTGGGCCACGTAGCGATACCCGGAAGACGGTGTTCGAAAGAGCGTCAAAAATAAAGACGAAATCAATTGGGTCAATTTTTTGGTCAGGTCAAAGGTCAGGTCACCAGAGGTCATTGAAGGCAAAATTTCGCAGATTTCCAGGTCGAATGTCGACAATTTCCAAGAAGCCAACGCATAACTCGGGAACCAATAGAGCTACAGCGCCGAGGGAGGAAAAGCGCATTCGATAGCCCTATTAACGCCCTTTCTGATTAATTCTCTCAGATTTGACCTAACGTCAACGGTTTTGCCTTCAGGGGGCAAAAACTGCAAAAATAGCCGATTTTTTTAGAAACAGTTTTTGTGCAATAACTGTTGACCCAAGCCTCGACGAGCTTACTTTTACCGGCATCGTGTTCGTCTCGTCAAGGAACATCGAATGAACTATAACTTGACCTTGAAAGGTCAACTTGAAAATTTGACCTCAGGTCAAGGTCATGACCTCACCGGAGAGGGTCATTTTGCATATCAGTCGATCCGTATCGTCGAGCTGAACACATCTAAGGCGTTTTCATTGCTGTAGCATGCCTCTATCAAAAGTTATTTGCGAAAAACTGTTAGATACCATTCGTGACCTAAGATGACCTCAGGGGCATATGTAAACAGGGGGTCACGGACACCATTTACATGTTCAGTGTGTCTAAACCACTTGTAATTCAGTATTTGGGAGTGTTTATAATGTCTTTCGCCCAAAAGAGGCGCATTTCAATTTTCTCCCATTGACTTATAATGGGCAGGTCGCAAAATTGACCTGACCTTAGGTCATCGATATCAAAATTCTGAGATAAACATTTTGTACATGCTAGTGCTCTTAGCAATCGCTGAAAGTTTCAAAGCAATCGGTCACTCGGTGTAGCTATGGCAGACATTGACAGTTTTTATGAGGTGAGGTCACTTCAAGTGACCTGGTGACCTGACCTTGAATGACCTTGGTCTGAAATTTGCACAACATGTGTAGAATTGATGTATCACGCGCAGTGGAAGGGGGGCGGATTCCGCCCACCCCTCCTGTTTTTCGCCAATAACTCGCGCCGCAAACATGATATTAATGTGAAGTTTAGGCTACCTGTCCAGAATTGAACTGCGGATTATCTCGTGCAAGAAATAAGAAAATCGGGTCACCACTTTTCTTGTAATAGCGGTGTAAAGTCAAACATCCTGCCGCCGCGGCGGCGCGGCGGCCGGCGCTAGCCGTTACGCACCGCCTGAATTATAGACTGTGCCGGGGCGGGACGGTTCCGCCTTTACATCGCGCTCCTTACCGCTGATTATGTTCGATTCGCGTCAAATTTTGTGAGAAAACTAAGCAATGTACAGGCAATCTCATGGTTACAATTTTTTGAAAATCGGCAGGTAAAAACTTGAGTTATTAGTGTGTAAACACAAAATTGTGATTGCCGCGTTTCCCGCGTCGGCCGATCCTGCTTCAGCCGGCGACATCTTACCCTTAGCAGACTTTTAGCTGCTATATTTATTGTTTGATTAACTAGAAATTCACCATACATACTCACAAATGTATATTCTTTCGTATAATGAAAGAAAAAAGAAAATCGGCCGGTCACTTTTTGAGTTATCGGCGTGTAAACGCAAAAAAGTCGCTCATATGGCAGATTCAGATTTGACATTTGACCTCATTTGACCTTGAAGATCAAAACATCAGACCTAGGGTCATGAAATTCATACACAACAGAGTTCCCCAGGGCCTTCACATACCCTCCAAATTTCGTCTTTCTAGCTCCAGTGGAAGCTGAGATCTTAGGGGGGGGCGACATCCGCCCCCCCCCTTCCACTGGGCGTAGTACTCGCAACCCTTCCACTGCGCGTGGTATGATAAGGTGTACCAAAAACATATTGAGATATTCGCGAAAAACCACAGAGAGGGGTGTTTAAACACACCCCCCCCCCCAGCAGAGCGCGGGTTAATGTAGATAAGTCCTGAAACTTTCACATCCCTGCCAGAGATTCCGACTTTGCGAAGTTGCAACACTTTAGGACCGTGCAGAAGCTTATGACATCAGGCTTAGGTTAGTAATCTGACCTGACTTCAAAATGGGGTTGCAAAACATTCTGCTCGGATCATAGGTGTCGTGTGCTAAGTTTCAGCCCCCTCATAGCCAGTGCGTTCCGAACAATCGCAGATAAAACGTCTGTAGGTTCACCTCCCCCCCTCTCCCTGCAGCTCGGCCGCCGACAGTGAAGGCTAAAAAAGACGACTGACGTATAGAGATTAAAGGTTCGAGCCAATCTTGGTTAGAAAACTTATTCCTAATATTCATTTGTTCATTCATTCATTTCAAAATACATATGTCAAAACACTTGCAAATTGAAAATAAAAGTTGATGCTGTTTAGTGTTTGAAATGTAGGTATGTACAGTTATTTTTTTTTTTAATTCAACACATTAGTGGGTAGGAATAATATTGAGTTGTGCCATTTACCTCCTATGTGCGAAAATTTACATCAATTCAACAACATTTAACGAGTAATGAGTTATCGAAGCATTTCTAACATTAGGTATAGGTTTGTAATAGGTATGTACAGTCGTGTACAGGTTGATGGTCCACTACTCTTTATTCACCGGGTTCCTATGGCTCAGCATTGGCAGCAGCCGCCTGGTACAGGTAGGCTGTGCCGCATGACCTGAGAGTGAAGCGGCACAGTCTATCCACGCCGTTTGACATCGGCTCGGGTCGCCGGGTGGAGCGCTTTATAGACCAGCTGTTGCGTCAGACCAGCGCGGGGGGAGGGGCTCGTCTCGGTGGTTGGCGTGGGCTGGCGAGTGGTGTGGGGCGTGTTGGTGGACAATGGGGGCTGGGCAGTGGGCGGGTGTGTGTGGTCACTTGCTCCATTGCACATTTTGCGTCGCTTAACAATTGCATTCCTATTTTTTGCTAAGCACAATGCACGGAAGACCCAGCGAATATAATTTACTTTACTTGTGCATTGTGCAAAACGTGATTTGGCACGGTATCGAGGCAACCATTAGGTCTTGTGCCACATATATGCATGATATTTAGGCAATGCGTTTATGAAAATGGTAGATTGATCCTGGATGTCAATTCGTATATTAAATGTCGACATGTATTAAATGAACGAATGAATGAATCAATCAATCAATCGACAATCGACATGTAGGTATAAAACCGTATAAATGGCTCGCAACCACTAAAATCAAACCAGATCCTAACTCGGAAAAGTAGCCAGCGCCCCGATGAGGCTCGAACCTGGACTCCACGTTGAAAGTTTTGCCAATGATCCATCATCATTCCATCAAGCTAGAGCGACCGGCACCCGAAACCACAAAAACATTCATTGACTTTGCTGCCGACCTCCCGGCCCCGCCGCCCGCACGGCCAGACTTTGCCCCGGCCGTGGCCACCATCCGGTGTAGCTCAGCGTAGGAGTGCTAGACTGTCAAAATGACTGGTAGTGAGAGGCCAGGTTCGAGACGCTTCGCGTGCTGGATGTTTATTTCTGTGTGGGAGGCTTTGCGATTAGTCCACTTTTCAGAAAGATTATTTGGTGACAGGTCTGTTTTCTTTCCTTGCTGCAATTCATGAGAAGACCGTATGGACCCTTACCTGTCCTTCCGCACCCCACTTGGGAGATGGGTGTTTGAACCCCCTGGGTTTTGTGAATACCTCTAAAGCGAATTTTTGGAGGGTGGCTTACGATCGGTTCTATGCGACAAGTGACCACACACACCCAGCCTCAGGTCCGCTCACTCCCTCCCCACATCACCCCCGCCCCACACCACACTCCAGCCCGCCTCATCCACCGAGCCGAGCCAAATCGACAGGCCTGACCCTTACCCCCCTCCCCCCTGCCGGTGTAACGCAGCGTCCGGTCAAATCGCTCTACCAGGCGACCCGAGCCGGTGTCATACAGTGTGGGTAGGCTGTGCCGCTTCACTCTCGGGTCATGCGGTACAGCCTACCGGTTCCAGGCGGCTGCTGCCAATGCTGAGCCATAGGAGCCCGGTGGATAAAGAGTAGCGGACCATCAACCTGTACACGACTGTATATACTAGAGATGCACTACACAAATGATTTAGGAATACACCTATAAATGAATTATGATTCATTTCTATATGCTGTTTAGGTAAATGATTTTTAATTTATCCGTTCTACGTTCATTGAAGATATGTTGTTTTCTAATAGGGGAAGTTGGGGCAATGCCGGAGTTGGGGCAAAGCCGAAATTCGAGATATTTCGAAAACCGTAAGACATGGATGCCACCTGTCAGTGATGCTCTGAAGCTTAAGTGACTACAATTATCGCATGTTTGTTACGAGTCGTCATTCGGAATACTTCGGCTGTGAGGACGCCAAGAGCGTTTTCAAGGTACGCGTTCCTTGTACTACATGCGCCTTTGAAGCTGCATTTCTTACTCATTATGCTACCGTTTGTCTGGCCAATTCGGTCAAGTAATCTTCAGCATGTCTTTGCATAAGTGTGCTGCCTATTTGAAATTTATACGGCACGTTGAAAAGTTATGGGCCTGCAAATGAAAGTATGGCTGGCTGGGGTAATGCCGAAAACGTGCAATTACGCACGTTAAAGCACGCTACGTGGACTTTACTGCTGTAGAATAGCAACGCGAATTTTTAGTCACACAAATTACACTTTCAACCGACACAACGGCCTGTTACCTATAAGGAATTATTTACCTGGCATTTTCTTATTATATCACACAATTTTAACTTCCAGTGTGCACCAAGCGTCCTCAAGCTCTTAAAACGCGTGTCAGCTTGGATAAATTCTGGATAAAGTTTGAGATAAAGTGGCAAAACATCAATGTCGGCATTCCCCGTAGATCATTTCTCCCATTTTCGGCTTTCCCCGCAGTCCGGGGCAACGCCGAAAAAGTCACTTCTTTGATATTTTTAGTTTGTGCGCTTAACGGTATGCGAATTCATCAAATGCGCCTGGTATGTTTGAAAGGCAAAGACTGACCTCTCGAATGACGCCAACAAGAATAGCTCTTGTTGTCTACCTTGCGTGCTACGGGCGTCAGAAAAAAAGTATTCGGCGTTCCCCCAACTTCCCCTACGTCATATAATAGGTTCAGGTCGATGCGGTGTTATATTGACGTAAGGTAGGTATGCTGGGTATGCTAAGATGCAAAGCAACGTATCTATGAGTGCAGTGGAAGCATCTAAATAACACTCCCACGAGATATTATTTGCAGGCTCATGTTTGGCTTAATATGCAAAGAGGAAAAAAGGCGTGAAAATGCCGAAAATGTTTCAGAATTGCACCTGCAAGACCGGCCTTGTGCAAAACCATTGCATGCATATCTTTTATCGTTAAAATAAGTCCAGGGCACTTTTTACATATCTCGAAATGTTGTTTTTACGGAGCAGAGTACTTGTGTGGCTGTTCATAACATGGATCCCTTTTGTCGCAACAATAGATTATTGCAGCGACGTGAAGTGCATGAAAGGCCAGCACACGATGTGCATGTACTATTGGGATAGTCCTGGGGGTGAATGCAACTCTCTTACGGGTCAAGGAATCGACTCGAAACAGATTGAAGATCTACTTCATGTTCACAATCGGTACAGGGACTATCTCGCTGCCGGAAAGGAAACACGCACGATCGACGGTAGTACGATGCCTGAGGCGGCCAATATGGGTGTGCTGACCTGGGATGAGGAAATAGCTAAAATCGCGCAGCGCTGGGCTATTCAGTGCCACTTTGGTCACGATTATTGCCGAGATCTTCCTAACATGAAGGTGGGCCAGAACGTGGCCATCGATGGCAGCACCGTCTCGGGACCGCCCAACATGACCAGCCTCGCCGTGAGGTGGTACGAAAAGGAGGTCGGATTTTTCGAAGCCAGCCGCGTAGCCAGTTACCAGCACTTCATGCAAACCGGTCACTTCACCCAGTGGATTTGGGCCACCTCGTACAAGATCGGCTGCGGCTACGCCGGCTTCAAGAGTGACACGATGAACAAAAACTTCCTTGTCTGTAACTACGGTCCGGCCGGCAATGTGGCACGCCAGCCCATCTACCAGCAGGGGTCGCCGTGCTCCGCCTGTCCGCGCGGAACGACGTGCGGCGGCGACAGCCGCTACCCGAACCTCTGCAAGGCAGAAGGTGGTCACTCTGCCTTCGGAGAGGGTCAGTACGAAAAGCTAAACTCAGGCTCGGTGCCGGGGCGCAGTGCCCTGCTGGCCGGTCTGTGCGGCGCTCTGGTCGTCTGTGCGTCTGTCCAACTGCTGCTGTGACACAGACAGCTAGTGTCTGCTCCCCGACGGACGGTAGTGTACCATGCCTTAGCCTCGACCACTGCGCGCCCTCTGGTGATGGCGTGGGGAGGATGTGATGTGAGCCATGTGCAAGGTGACGCATTTCCATCCACAACGGACAGGTGTGCGTGTTGAACATGTTCCCGAGTGCTGCCGATCGCCGCTGCTCCTACAAATATGTTGAATGATCTGTGAATACAAGTGACTGGCTAATCAATAATACATGTCGTACCTACATACAACGATCCCCATTGGTTGTTCTACATGTCTTTTTTATCGTTGTAAAATCCAGAATATGAAGTAATAAAAAATAATATACCTATGTTAGAGAAGTAGGAAGGTAGATACTGGGTACTGTCTTTCCACCTACCTTCTAATTTTGAGAAGGATCGAGTCAAAAATGCAGAAGTTATTCAAATTTTAATCACGTTATAACCAACAAAATTTTCGAAAAATGACATCTTTGGACGTTTTAGACCTCGTGCGGGAACAAAGAAGCACCATTCGAATCTTCGATTCAACCTGAAACATTGCATCAGATACACAACTTTTTGGGTCTTAATCTTCTTCAAAATTTGACCTCACTTGACCTGACCTTGACCTGAATTTTATCCAAATATGATCCACATCACTAATTGAGTATGGTCATTGAGCTCGATGATTAAAATGACCCACACAACGTGTACCGCACATATCCTATTCCACAGCTTGTCTTTGGTGACCTGACCTTGACCTTGACCTTTGCATGACTTTGTATGCAATGCATCTTGTGTTGGTAGCCTAAGAACGCGTTTTGGGTAATCAATATCAGTTCATAAATCGCCAACTGCGCTCCAAGTCCGATACTGTAGAATCTTTCGATTTTTACCCTTGCCCTTACTTTGCCCTGACCTGTGACCTATTAATTGGCAAAACATAACCCGCGCCCCGTTGGGCTCTGCCGAGCAAGGCGCCCTGTTGTCCCAACGCGCCTCAGGGGGGGGGGGGCAATTTGCCCCCCCCCCCCTGAGATCTCGAGAACCACGCAACCTAGCGACAAGCGGCAAACGGTGTTGGATAGCCCTATCAGGAACTACCTTGTGATCCAATTTTATTGACCTAGGTCAAGCCGATGACGTCACAGGTCAGGTCAAAGGTCGAATTTTCACCGTTTACAGACATTTCAAGAAATGCGTTGTAAAATCGAGTAAAATGCATTGAATTGAAAATCATCGATGGGAAAATGTTCTTCAAACACATATTTTGCTAGTTGAGGTCACTGATACCAGGTCAGGTCACAGAGTTCAGGTCACTGGGGGTCACAATATGAAAGTGTCGTGTGATACATGTTTATGGTCCATTTTACATGACAAATGCGATTATGTGGGTCAGGTAGCCTTTGGGGCCAGCTTAGGTCACGTTTGGGTCAAGGTCAGGTCAAGGTCAGGTCAAGGTCAGGTCAAGGTCAGGTCAAGGTCAGGTCAAGGTCAGGTCAAATGAGGTCAAATTTCAAAGTTGATATCTTTGCATAAAATGGGTATCGATTCGATGCAGCTCGTCACGGGGAGCTCAATGGTGGTCTTTGTTTTGCCCTATGTGGTCTAGAATCGCTAAAAATTCAGTTCAAAAATTTGACATCATTTTTGAACAGTTTTTTTCGCTATAACTTGGCCAAAAAACAAGATATTGATCTGAAATTTGATATGTATGTAGAAGAGCGCAGGGACTATCACATATATTCCTTTTTTTCGAAATTCGGATTTTTTTTTTTGTTTCTAAACAAATCATTTTTTTGAATTTTTTGGGGAAAAAACCCAAAATTTTGAAAATCCGAGAGGCAGTTTTGTAGTGCCGCTTTTTGTCTACTAGACCATATACCTAAAGAACTTTGAAATTGCTTGGTAACTGTAGATTTGGTGAGCGTTTCAAGATTGCATGTTTTTTTGCTCATTTTTGCTCGAACATGACCTCAGTTTAACCTCAATAACTCCTGATCTAAGGTGACATAAGACTTGAAATTTGGTGTGAAGGTGTCAAATTGATGCCAGGGAAGGTACTGAAAATTTGGCGGTGCTGCGCGTCGCCGTTTTCTTGCTATTCAGGAAAAAACACAGGGGGCGAGGGATAATCCATGCTACAGAAGTTCGTCTTCTTGAGTGCTTTCGAGTGTCATTTTTCACGCCTTTCGAGGACCGTCGGTTCGAAAGTTGCTAAGGCCGACAGGATCTGCCCCCCCCCCCCAGCACAGAGGGACACGTATGACGGAATAGCCCAGCGGGGTGCGTGTTACGACATTCTAAAGTTTCGCGAAGATGGATTTTAGAAGACATTTTAGAAATACTGAAGTGGGCAGGCTCACCGCCACCTCCACCCCCTCCTCCTTACCTACCCCCAGCGGGCACATGTTCCTATATAAATCAACTATGGTCATATGGCCAACTCAAAATTCGCCAAGAACCTATCAACTCATTGTCATCATCAAACAATTATATCAGCCTCTATCACATGTATTGAAGAAACTGATGATGACCTTAGCATGACGCTACGTCACATTACCGGGTGAAATTTCCCTACTCTGCAGTATTCAGCAGGCACCCAATTAAAGACGGTTTAACCCGCACAGCTTGGGGCCACGCTCTGCTTGGGAAAGAGTGTGTTTGCATCCCCCCCTCTAACTCGGCTCCTGGGCCACGTAGCGACACGCAGTAAGCGCGGCATTCGAAAGAACGTCTATAATAAGGACGAAAACACTTCGGTCAATTAAGGTCAGGTTAAATGTCCGACTCCGATGATAAGAATTCAGAGGTCATCCAAGGTAAAATGTTGCCCATAGGCGCGGGAACCGGGGGGCAGTGGGGGCAGCTTGCCCCCCCCCCCCAACTCTGGGGCCGTGGGGGCGGTGCCCCCACAACTTTGAGACGGAATACCGCACTTTTGCAATTGTTTTCTTTTTTGTTGATAAAAAAAAACAAAGAGGTGGAAAATGAGTGGTCTAAAACCGGTGAGAAAACTAGATTTGGGGGTATCCTAGTTTGATCTCTATTATGGTGTGCCCCCCTCCCCAGTCTGAAAGTAGTTCCCACGCCTCTGATGTTGCCTACTTTAACACGCGCACCGACGGGGGTCTGCGCCAACTGAGTACCGACGGGGGGGGGACGGATGACCGCCCCCCTGAGATCTTGAGAACAAAGCAAGATAGCGACAAGCGGTAAACGGCATCGGATACGCACGGACAAGGTCTACAATTTTTACTAAGGTCATTTTCAGGTCAGGTCAAAGATGACGTCACAGTGGTCACAAAAGTCAAAATGGCGGTGCCAGATATGGAGAGTTTTTCTCGAATAACTTTCGAACTGGTCAAGATAGGAACAAACTAAGGGCACCATCGTGATTCTCTCGTCAATCCGCATCGAATGATATATCGACACCTTTTTTTAAACCCCACATCTGCTCTCCCGTGAATATCCGGGAGGCACGAAAGATCTCCTTTTAAAAGTGTCCAATCGTCCGATCCTGATCAAATATGTGTGTTCGTAGGCCTGTTCTGGTATTGCTTTAGCTGCCAAGACAGATAAACTTGAGAAAAATCGAGTGATTGTACCTTTTTTGAAGGTCTCTAACCAACTTGTCTGAAATTCACCGGAGAACAAATGTGGGGTTTAAAAAAAGGTGTCGATATATGTTGGCCTCTAAAGGTCAAGGTCAAAGGTTGACTTCAGGTCACGTGACCTCGAGGTCATCATGTATATCATTCGATGCGTCTTGACGAGCTGAACACAATGAAACCATCCGCGTGGCTGTATATCTTGTTCCTGTACGGAGTTATTGGCAAAAAAACTTTGGTGACCTTTGATGACGTCAGATGACCTTACATCTGCCCAACAGCAAAACAGACCTCAAGGTAGTGAAGGTTGATCGTATATGAAGTCATGTATGATATATGGGGCCATTCCAACCCGTTTTAGTGGTAAAAACAGGGAGTTGATTTTTCCCCCATTGACTTATGATGGGGAGGTCGAGAAGTTGACCTGACCTTAGGTCACCGATATCAAAATTCCGAGATATACCAATTGTAGCTACTAATGACCTAATAACATCCTGCGACTTTCAAAGGCCTCCGACATCTACTGTAGCTCTGGCACGGTGACAAAGTTACAAAAAGTGACTTGAGGTTGGGTCATTCAAAGTGACCTGTTGACCTGACCTTAAAAGTTAGGAAATTCAAACTTGCACACCATGTGTAAAATTGATGAGAAAATAGTCGTACCAAGTTTCGTGGCGCTACGCGCCGCGATTTTTCCCCTATTTGCAAAAAAAAACCGCAGGGGGGCAGATATCCGCCCCCCGTCGGTGCGCGTGTTAACATTTTTCGAAACAGTGGGACACAATTCGGGAACCAATAGAGCTGCAGCGCCGCGGAAAAGCGCATTCGATAGCTCTTTTAACTCTCCTACTTAAGTGTGCCCTCAGACTTGACCTCAGGTTAATGGTTTAGCCTCCAGAGGGCAAAAAAAAAACGTTTTTGCAAAAAGAAAAGTTTTTTTCAATAACTTTCGACTCAAGAGAGCCACGATATTACTTTTGCCAGCATCGTATTCTTCTCATCGAGACGCGTTAAATGAAATATAAGTTGACCTTGAAAGGTCAACCTGAAAATTTGACCTCAGGTCAAGGTCATGACCTGACCGGAAAGGGCATGTTGCATATCGTTTGATCCGTATCGTCGAGCCGAACACATCTAAGGCGCTTTCATCGCTCCATCAGAAGTTATTAACGAAATACTGTGAGATACCTTTCGTGACCTAAGATGATATCGGAAACATAACGAGGGGTCACGGATGCCATTTTCCGGTTCAGTATCTCATGTTTAATAGTTCGGTAATTAGGTGTTTGAAAGTGTTTAGAATGACGTTTGTCCAACAAAGAGGTGCATTCAATTGACCTATAATGGAGAGGTCGCAAAATTGAGCTGACATTAGTTCACCGAATATCGATATACAAATTCCGAGATAAACATTTTGTACATCTTCTTGCTCTTATCAATTGCTGGAAGCTTCAAAGCGATCAATCACTCGATGTAGCTATGACAGTCATTGAAACTTTTTATGAGGTGAGGTCACTTGACGTGACCTGGTGACCTGACCTTTAGTGACCTTGGTCCTAAAATTTGACAGCATGTGCCGGAAAAGATGTATGATGGGTACTGATTGATGGGGTGTGCCAAAACGGA